AGTATTTCCGCTGCCGGGCTTCGAACCCGGAATTTTTCAAATACAAAGAAGGAATTTAGCCATTGTGCTACAGCGGAACTTTTGTTATGCTATGAATATATCGTGTATTTATACAATTATGTATTACACTTTTTAAAATTTATTACAGATTTTATATTTTTTACAAAAAGTATTAATTTCTGCTGCCGAGCTTCGAACCCTGAGGAATTTAGCCATTGTGCTACAGCAAAAGTTTTTTTAAGCAATGAATATATCGTGTATTTATACAATTATATATTAAAATTTTTAAGATCTATTACAGATTTTAAGATTTTTTACAAAAAGTATTTCCGCTGCCGAGCTTTGGACCCGGAATTTTTCAAATTCAAAGAAGGAATTTAGCCTTTGTGCTATAGCGAATATTTTGTTAAGCTATGAATATATTGTGTATTTATACAATTATATATTAAACTTTTTACGATTTTTTACAAAAAGTATTTCCGCTGCCAGGCTTCGAACCCGGAATTTTTCAAATTCAAAGAACGAATTAGCCATTGTGCTACAACGGAAGTTTTGTTATGCTATGAATATATCGTGTATTTATACAATTATGTATTAAATTTTTTTTAGATTTATTACAGATTTTAGATTTTTTACAAAAAGTATTTCCACTGCCGGGCTTCGAATCTGGGATTTTTCAAATTCAAAGAAGGAATTTAGCCATTGTGCTACAGCGGAAGTTTTGTGATGCTATGAATATATCGTGTATTTATACAATTATGTATTAAAATTTTAAAGATTTATGACAGATTTAAGATTTTTTACTAAAAGTATTTCCGCTGTCGGGCTTCGAACCCGGAATTTTTCAAATTCAAAGAAGGAATTTAGACATTGTGCTACAGCGAATATTTTGTTAAGCTATGAATATATCGTGTATTTATACAATTATATATTAAACTTTTTAAGATTTTTTACAAAAAGTATTTCCTCTACCGTGCTTCGAACCCGGAATTGTTTCAAATTCAAAGAAGGAATTTAGCCATTGTGCTACAGCGGAAGTTTTGTGATGCTATGAATATATCGTGTATTTATACAATTATGTATTAAACTTTTAAGATTTATTACAGATTTTAGATTTTTTACAAAAAGTATTTCCGCTGCCGGGCTTCGAACCCTGAGTTTTTCAAATTCAAAGAAGGAATTTAGCCATTGTGCTACAGCGGAAGTTTTGTTAAGCTATGAATATATCGTGTATTTATAAAATTATGTATTAAACTTTTAAAGATTTATTACAGATTTTAGTTTTTTTACAAAAAGTATTTCCGCTACCGAGTTTTGAACCCGGAAATTTTCAAATTCAAAGATGGAATTTAGCCATTGTGCTACAGCGGAAGTTTTGTTAAGCTATGAATATGTCATGCATATATACATTTAAGTATTAAACTTTTTAAAAATTATTACAGATTTTAAGATTTTTTATAAAAAGTATTTCCGCTGCCGGGCTTCGAACCTGGAATTTTTCAAATTCAAAGAAGGAATTTAGACATCGTGTACAGAGAATATTTTGTTAAGCTATGAATATATCGTGTATTTATACAATTATATATTAAAATTTTTAAGATTTTTTACAAAAATATTTCCGCTGCCAGGCTTCGAACCCGGAATTTTTTCAAATTCAAAGAAGGAATTAAGCCATTGTGCTACAGCGGAAGTTTTGTTAAGCTATGAATATATCGTATTTATACAATTATGTATTAAACTTTTAAAGATTTATTACAGATTTTAGATTTTTTACAAAAAGTATTTTCGCTGCCGGGTTTTGAACCCGGAATTTTTCAAATTCAAAGAAGGAATTTAGCCATTGTGCTACAGCGGAAGTTTTGTTAAGCTATGAATATGTCATGCATATATACATTTAAGTATTAAACTTTTTAAAATTTATTACAGATTTTAAGATTTTTTATAAAAAGTATTTCCGCTGTCAGGCTTTGTATCCGGAATTTTCCAAATTCAGAAGAGGAATTTAGCCATAGTGCTACAGCGGAAGTTTTGATGATTTATGAATATATCATGCATATATACATTTAAGTATATCATGCATATATACATTTGATTATTTATGAATATATCATGCATATATAAATTTTTAAGATTTATTACAGATTTTAGATTTTTTACAAAAAGTATTTCCGCTGCCGGGCTTCGAACCCGGAATTTTTCAAATTCAAAGAAGGAATTTAGCCATTGTGCTACAGCGAAAGTTTTGTTATGCTATGAATATATCGTTTATTTATACAATTATTTAATAAACTTTTTAAGATTTATTACCGATATTAAGATTTTCTTGCCAAGAGTTATGATCACTCTCATAAATCAATTCAAAACTTAAGAATCTTTGGATATCATGTGTACCAAATATGATGAATCTAAACAGTGTGTGATTGCGATATTGAGCCTCATCAAGCAAAATAATGCATAGCCCAAATCAACCCATATGATTCTAGACGCAAGACTGATAAACTACACCTTAAACCCTTCATCCCATGTAGATCCATAGTTCCATCATGAAGTTGTAACGGTTAAACTACACCACTTATGACACCAATACTTGTTCAAATAATCAAATTAGTATACTTCCTACCAATACTTATTTAATTACCATCATGGAAGAAGCATTAATGTGAAAAAATAACACTTCGACATGAACAAAACATACATCTTTTAAATCCCTGATTACAAATACAAATTGCATGACTTTCCTACACTTCAAGATCTTTCTCCTTAAATCAAGAAAATAGCCAAACATCTCCAAGAAATTGCAAGAACAATGGACGATGTTAAAATTTGTAAAATGCGTGCGGGTAGGGTCGTGTAAAATTTCTTCTTTTTATTCACACTTCACGTGTTGTGTGTGGAACTGAGTTCACATTAGTTTAACAGCTCGACACAACCATATTCATACAAAGTCTTGATAATATTGATTGCGTTAGAGCCAGAACCTTCAAAAAAAACCTTTAAAAAAACAAAAAAAAATTATATTTTAAGGAACAACAAAATTTATTGCTCAGCACAGAAGGTTAGGGAGATCATTAAGAGTCCATTACAAAATTTTGGGAGGCTGAAACATTAATGTTCTTGACTCGTACGGATACTCTCATGTTCATACACATAAACTAGTTATGTTTTTGTCTTTGTCAACAACCTCAATTAATATTTAGCAGTTGATGGTTGGAGAGGAACTTTTTATTTACTCTTTTTATCTTCTGCCTTTTAAAGACTACTTATTTCTCTTCTTCTTCTTTATTGCTTATAGCTTCTGAGCATCAATGGATCCACATCATAATAATCTTCTCTTTGTAGCCTTTTTTGTTCTCTGCTTAGCCGCGAATGAAGTAACCGGATATGCCACGGTCACAGGCTCGGTGTTTTGTGACCAATGCAAGGATGGAGAGAGATCTTTGTTTGATTTTCCTGTCTCTGGTAATAATCATTAGCATTTTTACATTGCTGTCTACGCTTGTGTTCCTTAAGATGTGTTTGTTGATTTGTTTCAGGAATCAAGGTTAGTGTCACATGTTCTGATGAAAATGGAGAGGTCTACATGTCAAGAGAAGAGACTACTAATTGGCTTGGAGGATATGTAATGAGATTTGATGGTACACCGGATCTGAGTAACTGTTATGCTCAAGTTTCAGATAATGGAGCCCCACAAGACCCAAGTAGCTGCAGCATTGCTTCAGGTCCTGCACAGAAACTTAAACTAATGTTCAGCTTTTTTGGGATTGAAACGTTTGCTGCGGATGCGCTTCTTGCTCAGCCACTTCAGCCAAGGTCTTTTTGTCCTAAACCACCCGCAGCTCCGGTCATGCCTCCTCCTCAAGTCCCGGTCATGCCTCCTCCTCAGGTCCCGGTTAAGCCTCCTCCTAAGGTCCCGGTTATAAGTCCTCCTCCAGTTACATCACCTCCTCAGTTTAAGCTTCCACCTTTGCCTCCAATGCCATTTGTAGAGCCATCAGCTTGTTCTCACCAGTGAGCTTTCTCTCTGATTCATTACCTAGCACACTTCAAATGAATGCTGGACTTTCGGTTTTTCGGTTCCATACTTGTTTGCTCCATGAGTGAGCTTTCATATTTGTTCCTTATAGCACTTCAAATTATGCTAAGTCATTTGGTTTTTAAATTTGATTTTTCAACTAAAACCAAATTTTTTGTTGGTTTGAAATTTTTTGCCTATTCGGTATATATATGATATGGTTTGCCAATTCGGTATATATATACATGAGGAGTATAAATTTTACTATTAGACTTTGATTTATTCAGTTTGGTTACGTTAAGCTTGGTTTTTAGTTCGGTCTTATTATGTATAGTTAACATTCCATATAAAGAGTAATATTTCTTAAGATTTTGTTTTGGTTATATAGGTTGTGGATGAAACCTGAGTACAGATGCTACTGGAGGGCAATAGGTCCAGACACGAAGGTTGCGGTTGCATTTGGGCTAGTAGCTGGGAGGAGATACGGTACTGATATGACAGTACGTGAAGCGCTTGACGGGCGAGGAGAAGCCTATAAGACACTCTTAAGAGAGGCAACAACTGCATTACTCAATTCATACAACTCTCTAGGATTTCCATATAATTCCATCGCTGTGATCACATATACCAATTTGGCTCTCCTCGGGAATTCGGAACATGATGTTCTCATGACCGCTATTCGTTTCATTAAGGCTAATTCCGGGACCTGCAGATTCACAGTCTGTAATTGATTTGTTATGTTTTTCGTACTTACATACTCTACACTTTCATTGTTTTAGGGTCCTTGTGTAATACTATAAAAGTCTATACCTGGATTCATTGGAGAATTTATGGACTATTGTTACATTCCCTGTTTTTACTAAGCGTTAAAATTAGGACAGTGAGCACTAGAATTGGAATTTTGTTTGATATGATAAAACATCATTCAAACATAGAAATCAGTTTTTACATCTCACAGATATAATGCATCATTGGTTGGAGAGGGACATGAACAAAAATAGATATGCTTCATTCATAAGAGAGATCACAAGGTCTTAGAAATAGAAGAAAACAACCACTGAACTATTTATTATTATATATCAGACAAGGAACGTCCTGTTATGTTTCTGGCTATTTCAAAACACAGGCTTTGGTCCATCAATTGGTCTTTTACTAGCAGACAGCTCCTGCTCAAAACCAAAGCACATCAACATCAGCAAAATCCGTTAAGAGGGTTTGCAGAAAAACGAAAAAAAGAAACGAAATCAGCGATCAAAGCAGATATAGATCAGGTTTTGTACCTTATAAACTCACTCTAACGTGTTCTTTTGACTAATCATTTCCTAATACTCCATTGCAAAGGGATGGAAGTGAAATCAGCCTAAATGTTTCTTCATCATTGTCCATATTGTGTTTGCGGGTAACAATAACTAAGTAGCTTCTTGAAGAGAGGAACAATTGCAACCATAGCAAGTTGGAGCTGCTCGGAGCTGTTTACACGGACACTTACTTGCCCTGCTCCTCTATTATTCAGATTAGCACGAGCGATTAAATTAGAGGAACGTCCAATGGGAACCTGAGACTGTATGTTCCCTCCGATAGCAAGATCACCGTGCCAATCCATTACAGAAAGTCCAAGAGTAGTCAAAAACCGGCCAAGCGGATAATCTTTATCTCTCAACTGAGCTTCTAAAGTACCACCATAAGCAAAATCTCCCCGACTAGTCATAGCTCCACCAGACATTACCATTCTGAACCATTTACTAGCAATCAACTTATCTTCGACTTTCAACCCTGCAGAAACCGAATCACCCAAGAGTGTTACAGAAAGACCAGCTGCAGCTTTGTTTCTCCTGAAATTGTTAAATCTCGTTTCGCTTCGAAGAGTATAAGCCAATTCCTTTCCAACAGTTTGCATGTCAAAACCTAGGGAAGTTGATTTACCCTCTCCATGTTTAACCGAGCTGGCCATTTCCAGCTGCACATTTGCATCCTTCTTGTCCTTTGTCACTTGGCCTGAGACAGATATTGGTATTTTGTCTTTTACAACAAAGAGCCGTTCTGCATTCACACCTTCATAACCAATATCATGATCCCACCCATGGGTTTCCAGAACTGGCCTAACAAGCCACTGATTGGAGGAATCAAGGTAGCGGTAGCGGTGAGTAGGGTTATCAGAGTCAAAAGACGCAGGTAAAGATAAATCTGGCATGGGAACTGGAACTGATGCAGGTCCACCACTCTCATCTTCCACATTTTCACTAAACCCATCAGGCAAATCTTTAATCTCTGCAGCAAATTTCTTAAACATCTTACGTCTCTTTCTTTCCTCTTTCATTTGCTTTTTCATTAATAGTTTCTCCCGGTACTCCATCTCATCAAGATACTGCTTCTTCTGAGATTTACTAAGCGTAGCCATTTGAGCTTTAGTCAAACTCTTAAAGGGAGGAAGCTGATCATACTCTGATTCTTCGTCTGAATCCGATGATTCGTCTAAATCATCTTCATCTTCTTCATCCCCATACTGCTGTTCAGGAAGCTTAGGTTGTGGTCTTGACTGCAGAAGTGATGAAAGGAGAAATGGTAATGGCGGAGCCTTGGACCGAGCTGCAAATGGTCTCCCAGGAATATTATCTTGTAACTTCAGAAGAGCATTTGCTTCTGCTAGAATCTTGGATGCAAATGAGAGTAACAACAAATGTGGCTTCCACACTTGGCCATTCGGTAATACTCTCTGGCCTGCCCGATTAGTCCTGCAAGCAGAGTGATTCTCAACTAAAGAAACAGGGTTCATGAGCCTCATATCTCCAGCTGCTTGGCGAATAGCCTGCTGGATGACGTGAGAGCGTTGTGTTACAAACATGTCATAGCTAGAAGCAGTGCCATTTGGGCCATCTGGTGGAACAGAAGCGGCATGAGTCAAACCCACAATGGCATTAAACCAAATCGATGGACCAAAAACATCACTTATGGTGCGCAGGAGAGGCATGTCACCAGAATCTCTGCTTTGCATATCCAACCTATCAAGATATAGTACAATGTCAGGTGGATTCTTCTTGATGAAAGCCTTAACAGAATTCAGGATCTTCTCATTCTTGGCTTGATCAGACCAGGAAGGTAAGAGACCGGGAGTGTCAATCACCCGTACCTTAATTCCCTGAACCAAACCATCAACATCTTGAACCCTCTTTGTCCCCATCTGGAATGCATCAGTACAAAATTTCACTTCATCAAATATAGAATTGATCGTTGCACTTTTACCAACCCCACTTTTACCGAGAACCATAATCGTACAAGAAAAATCAAGTGGATCCTGTCCAGCAGCCTCAAGCTGTTCTGCCATGGCACTGGCACGATCAAAACTAAAAGCACCAACACGGCTTCCATTTCTGCCCCTCAACTGCTCAGCCAATCCAAGCCTGTATAAAACCTGAGCAACAACAACATTATGCGGGGTTTGCCCTAGTCTATGTGCAAGCCTCAAAAATTTTACCCTGATCAACTGGAGCTTCTCACGGGTCTCATCATGCTCATCAGTCTCTACAGTGGTAGAGTCCTCAGCTTGCTGAGACTGATTGTGAGACCCATTCCCATTGACACGAGACTGTTGAGGAGCACGTGATGCAGGTTCCAAAAGAGGAGAAGCACGACCAAGACCTGCTGGACGAGCAGGTGGTAATGCTGTAGGATTACTTCTAGACTCTGTTGGTGAAACAGAACTTACTACCTCAGCTTCTGTTTCCACATGTGAATTTTCCTTAATCTCTGGATCTACATTTACTCTGCTGCTTCGCTGCTTCTCAAGTTCCTTATTAGGTTGAGGCCTCTGTTGGACATCATGTCCTCCATTAGAATTTCTAACTGTCTCGTTTTCTCTAGAAGTTACCCCAGGGGAGCCACTATTGCTGCGAATTTCAGTAGACTCAGGATTTGAGTTCGGCGAAGAAGCCAATTGTTGCTCTGGTTTTAAACAAGTACTGTCCCCTTCAGTCTCTCCCTTTTCCCCGGAACTAGATTTATCCAATGGAGATGAAGTCTCAGCACTTGCTACTTCAGTACTATCATTCACAGATTTGTCACCTGAAGCATTAGTTTCAATATCACTTGTGTAGGCGGCACCAGTCTCACCATTTGTTTTTGCCTCGGACTCATTGTCTATACATACTGAACCAGAACCATTCTCAAATAGATTCTTACCTGTTCCTGCACCATCCACAACTTCTTCTTCTGTCCTTTCCTCAAACAGATTTTTAGTTGTTCCTTCACCATCCTCAACATCTTGTTCTGTCTGTACGCCATCAACTCTTTCCTCCCAATTTTCAACTACAATGCCATCATTCCATGGTTCCTCAATCCCATCATCTTTTGGAATAACTTCAGCCACCACTTCTTTATTATTAGGAGAGACGATTCCATTTCCCAAAAAAGAATGAGTCTTTCCGTTTTCAATACTCACATCCTCAGCCGCTAACTTCAAACCATTAGTATCAGCCATCTCAGTGTTCTCAACAACATCCAAGTTCGATTCAACTTTACCATAAGAATCACCTGCACCTCCTTCCCCCTTATCACCATTCATTTTCGGAGCCACAACATCAAATCCAGCCTCCCCCGCACCATGGCTCTCTCCAACAACCGAATAATCAACATGCAAATCTTTAACACCCCCTTCATTACTACTTGTTTCATCCAAATCACCAACTGCCTCTTCAAAATCCTCCACTTCATTCTCATCCTTCGAACTTTGACGAGTTTCCTCTAAAGGTAAATCATCGGTCTCCAACAATTCACGTTTTGGATCCTCCTCCTGCTCATCATTCTCTGAACCAATCGCTTCCTCAAAAACATCATCTTCTTTCTCATCCTTTACTTCAACAGATCCCAACAACTCAGTCTTCGCTACTTGCTCATCGCTAATTCTATCTGACCTAACAACAACCTCAGTCCCATCTCCCATTTTCTAGATCACCACCGCTACCCAAAAAAAACAACCAAATCAGAGATTAGAAATCACTGCAACGACCAAATATAACCATCAATATAAAACTCCAACAACCAAAAAAAAAAAAATCGAGCACACAGCTAAAAAAAAAAAACCCTAGATCAGAGTTAATCACCACCACGAATCTTAGAATCATCATCACTTACCAATCCCAGAAACTGAAATTCAATTGAAGTGAAACAAATCGCTTAAGCAAAAGTATATTTAGTGATAGGGATCTCCAAACATACAAAGAAGAACTTGTTGAATATAGCAAACCAAAACCTAAACAGAAGAGAGAGACGACGAAGACCGGAGACGAAGACGAAGACGAAGAAGAAGAGAAATGGAGAAAAACCTTACCAGAGGTTAGAGATAGAGAGAAATAGAGAGAAGGTGAAAAAGTGTGAAGATCCTTCATGCGCTTTACCGGCTGCGAGCCTGCGACTACGACGGGGAAGGAGATAAGAGAAGTTGATCAACGGTGGAGATCGGTTTGGGTTTAAGCATCGTACGGTTGATAATTGCTCGTTGATGCAATCGTGAAATGATGCTGACGTGGACTAAATAAAGTTGAGTGAGTGAAGCCGTGAAGGCAGTAGAAAACCCTTGTGTGTCAATTCGATTTAACCAACCCGGTTCGGTTTGGTTCGGTCTGATCAACTACAATTTTAACCACTTTTTTTGGTTCTCTCTTTCTAATGAGCAAATTTCAGGCCCTTACTATAGAATCAATCATGTTTTTTGTGTTAATCTTTCGAATAAAACTCAACAAATAATCCTGTTTTCGACGGCGAGATACATGAACTCAATAAGCTGTTGGAGCTACTAAGAATCTTCCCATTTCAAGAAGTTGCAAGCTTTCCATTACTTTTAGGTGAATCTAAAACACTTTGTCTGCTAATACACATCCAAGTTCTTGAAGACTCTTCATTGTTTTCGCATGAGACCGGGAAATGCCATGACCCTTTTTCGGATTCCTGATTTGTCGAAATGTAATTCAAAAAATATCCAAACGGGGGAAAATAAAAGGGACTGAGATGGTAAACAAACCTGAATGACAACCGAAAAAGGAGACGGCATTTCAAGCTTCAGATTACCTTTCACAAAAGTATACCGGACCTGTACCAAAACCATAAACCAAATGCTAATTGTAGATTCCTCAAAATTACAATTTTAGTATAAAAAGTTGCATATTATAAGTTTATAACTCTACCTGATGCCTTTCTTTCCACTTATGGAAAAAACTGCTCCCTAAAAGTTCAAAAATGTGATCCCTCATCTCATCATTTGTTACAAGCAAACACTTGAGCTTAGCAGCAGCATATAGCCAATACCTGGAAAGGTTAATATACAAAAGATGAGTGTTGTAACCAAACATTGTTTTTTTTTGAACTAATGGTATCTAAGAAAAGCTAAAGTTCATACCAATCATCATTGGATCCTGGTGGAGTTGGATATAGGACACCGTTACTAATCCATTCTTCAACCAGATTCCGGTGGGTTGGGTTTTCTAAAAGCGCCCTGACCCGTCTCTTGTGCAATAGAATTAGGGGCCATTTGTTATTACCACTTTCACGGTAAAGTTCCTTCACCACAGATTCAAGCTGCTCTATCGCACATGTACATTGTCAGTATCGTAGGAATGGATTCGCAAATATGTAGGAAGAACAACAACTAAAAATAGATGAGAAACCTGTGGAAGACTGAAACTGCCATCTACAAAATTTTGTTGGTAGAGCCCAATATTTGCTCCATCTACTATAGCTTCGTAATTTCCATGTTTCTCAAGCCAGTCCTGGCATATATATGAGCAACTTTCAACAAAGATTGACATTTGAATACTCAAGATAAATATTCTTTGTATTTATATAGAAACTCCGTTTCAAGCTCAAAACTTAGTAAATATCATCAAGGACAATAAGATATAATCATACTTACATTACATCTAAAAGAAAAGAACTTGGCAAATGCCTATCTATAAATATCAAATTCGGAACTATACAGTACTCCGATAATGTTTCCCAATTGATGAATTCGTGCTAAAAGCAATTAAAAGAGGAGATTGAACTCTCTCTCGTACTAAAAAATTCAAGCACACCTTTCTCTAAATACTTTATCAAAGTTAACTAAGCAAACATAAACTTATATCTTCTCCTGAATTTTTCTCTCATGCAATTTTCTTATGTCCAGACTTATTAGAAGCAAGTTAAGAGAATCTAGGAATCATCCATTTTTCCTAACCTGAAATTCGCTGAAGTCCACCTGCGTCTCGCATGAATTCATCTTTGCCTTCCTCTCCATAGCCAAAGCCACCAAAGAATCCACAAACTTCTGTGTTTCCACCTCATTGGTATCTACACAAGCCAACTGCTCCCTGCAGCTCAAACATCTTCCGGTTGAGCTAACATTACCTTTCTTTACAGTCCATTTGCCCTCACCAACCCACCCATGCCCGTGCCACCCACCTCCATTCTTCAAAACAGCTTCTCTAAGCATCCCAACATCAGAACCAATTCCATTATCACTAACCTCACCAGCTTTCTCTCCACAGAACCATTCCTCAATAATTTTCGAAGTTTCTTCACAAACGCAGCCAACATATTCCCTCAACTTATGTAAATATCTATAAACCTTGTTTTCTCGGCCCGTGGCAGCGCTTACCTTCAACAACGCCAAGATCTCTGCCTCCTCCAATGCAATTCCTGCAGCTTCCATGTGCTCTTCCACCTCATAACCCATGTCAGCATCCAATCTCTCACAGAAACAGAGCAAAGCCGGCGCATAGGTCCTCAGACGGGGAATCGACACACCGCCAACAGAAACAAAGTCCTTAACAACCTTGAAAGCATAATCACCATCACCTTTAGCAGCAGCCAACCTAGCCACTGAAGTGACAGATGCCTCATTAGGACTTATCCCCGAACTAACCATACGATCAAAAATCTCGAAACCACGGTCAATGGCAAGGCTCCGAAGAGATGTATCACTAATAGAAGCAGAGCATAGGTACACAAGCGTCTGAAAATGTTGCTGGCTGAGGCGTAATTCGCTGGAAGTGACGGCTGCATCATAAAGGGCTAATGCAGCTGAGAGGTCCTTGGACTTGGAACATGAATTGAGGTTGAAGAGGAGATTTGTTTCAGGGCTTCTGCTTATCTTCTTCTTCTTGTTGGGTCTTGAAGAGCTTTCGTCGTGGTGGCGAGACCGGTGTTGATCAGAAGCAGCCATGTAAATCTCAAAGTTACAAGCTTTGCATTGGCAGATAGTGGAAGATGAAACCCTAACCCTAACCAGAAAAAATCCACAACTTTAAGTTAGCTGAAACAAACAATGAACACCATTAAAACCAATAACAGACAGTTGCAAAACATATCCCAGTTTCAGTTCCTAAAAACAGAACAAAGATGAAAGACCTTACCTTGTTTCAAGTAAACAACGCCGGCGAGATAAACCAGCTGACGGAGGTCCAAAGCGATTAGATGGTGGCGCAACGTCGATTAGTGGAGGAGAGACGACGAATTCGACAAAGACCACGGCGGCGGCGACTCACTGAGCAGAACAGATTTAAAAGGTGAACCGGGTTTTGAATTGTCGATCCCGGTTTAGCGTAATCTTGGTTAAGTTTTCGATTCACATTTGTAATAGAGCTGGTTAGGCCTGGGAAATAAACCGAACTGAATGTACCAAACCGAAACCGAAGCAAAAAAACGAACCGAGCCGAACCGAAAATTTGAAAATAACCGAACAGATACTAAATTTTATAACCAAAATAACCGTAACCGAATCGGTACCGAACCGAAATACCTGAAATACAATTATATTTTCAAAATAATTAGTTATTTATAGACCAAATAATCAAAAATACTTGAAAAATTTATAAAAATAGTAAAAATACTCGAAAATAACCGAAATATATCCAAAAATATCCGAAAATACTCAAAAATAACCGAAATATCCGAAAATATACTAGGCAAAATAACCGAATGGATACTAAATTTTAAAACCAAAAAAAACTGGAACAGAACCGAAAATTTAAAATATCCGAATAGATACTAAATTTTAAAATCGAAAGAACCGAAACCGAGTGGACCTAACCGAAAACCGAACGGATAACCGAAAATCCAGGCCTAGATCTGGTGGTACTAGTCTACTCGAATACAGGAGAAGGTGTTATGTTGAACCGGTCACTAGATTTATATATTCTTTTCAATTTAAAAAAGTAAAAACGCCATAGCTTCCAACAACAAACCCTCTGGTAGATGGAGAGTCTTTGCCTTCCAATACCAAGTCAGCTCTCAGTCAACATTTCCGTTGACTTCCTCTTTATTTCGGCCCCCTCAAGTTCTTCTATTCCTCTATTGACCCATTGGAACATATCAAATATCCAATAGAATATTACTGCCATAACTGTATATAGCAGTCACGGTGAATATGAAAAAGGTCCAAAGATTAGGGACAAAGGTTTGGAGCAAGAGCAAGGTTGATAAATCATCGACAAATTTGTTCATGTCTTCTGCTTCCATTCCTACTTCCTAGCACAATGTGTACGACTATCGCGGCATCACCATCAATCATGTGTTCGTGGAAACCTTCATAGCTAAAAAAAAACTTTATTTGATTTCCTTAACCCAAGAAAAAAAAACACTTTATTTGCTTCGAGGTGTTTTTAAGTTTCAATCAAAAGCTCTATCCACTGATTTTAACCACGAGCTTGAGTTTTAAGTAAAGTCTCCAAGTAAATAGATGATTTTTTCGTCAGGAGCAAATGGAATGAAGTGTACGTGTAATTGTCTAAATCAAGTTATGCAACTTAGCATCAAGAAGTTGGAGAATAATAGACGAACAAGAGTGTTGTAGATGAATAATATTGAGTTGCAATTGAACGAAATAATAACGATGAGAAATTAGAGTGATACTATGCAAAGCCTGAGTAGTTTAAAAAATGAAATAAAAAAGAACGATAATCCTTCATATATTAACAGCATAAAACAAATATAGCTGCTGCAAATTTATTATTCATATCATTATTATTAAAAAAAAAAAACAATACAAAAGACAATTGGATCATGTAAACAACGATTCAGTGTTGAACCATTGACCAAAGATAGTTCCCAAATCCCCAAATTGTTTAAAGATTTGGAGAACATGTAGGAATTTGCTATGAAGCGCCATCTCACTCTCCAAGCCCAAGATATCCAACAAGTCGTTTATTAGGCTGAAAAGCTTTTGCAATTTCTGAATACAACGATATAATGTTGCCACAAAGTCGAAGAAACTGCGAACTTTAGAAATAATCGTAACAAAAAAATTGCAAATTTTAGCCACGATCATAAGAAAGAAATCACGAAGCTTAGAAAAAACAGCAGCAAAGAAATTGCGGAGCTTAGTAATAATGGTATCAAAGAAACCACGAAGTGTTGAAATGAGAGAGGAGAATGATTCTTGGACCCTTTCTACCATTGGGGAGACTAAGTTATGAAGCATGTTCTTCGCAGAATCGAACCATTTCGAAACTCTCGAAAACAAATTTCCCCAAAACATTTTGCTCTCTACTTCTATTATGATTTGAATATGGAAGGGAATTATGAGAAAGAAAGCGTGAGGGATGGTTCTTTTTATATGGTTGTGCAGTTGTGCCATGCATCAATGTGTATATGTGACCGTCAAAATTCTTTGACTTTAATTATGATCGACTTTCCATCTATTAATTTCCCGATAATCAATAAGTGATTGAAATGTGAGAAGGCTTGGTGAGTTTCTGCATTGTTTTGTGTGTATACATAAAAAAAAAAAAAAATTATATATGCCTAAAACTAAATAATTCTATAGAAAAAAAATATGACGAGGTTCATTTTTTTCTTATCATTATTGGCTACTACTTACTCGGGTTCTTGTCCGCCCTACGGATGGGTGGGCAATGGGCATTTACAATTTTCATTTTTTTTTTTTTGCTAAAAATGTAAATATTTCATTAGAAAATGAAAAAATTTAGGAATTACAAGAATGTAAAACCTATAGTTTGGTCCCATGGCAATTCTCATATTTTTCCCCTTCGATTATTCAACTCGAATTTATTTTCATAATTTTGTTATAAGACTTGGATAGTTTTTTTTTTATACGGTTAAGAGGTTCTAGGTCTATCTATTACCATTTCTTCAGAGTTCAGAGAAGGATGTCTCTATGAAAATTAACGAAGGCACAATCTAATTTGTGTGTAAGTGTCTCATGTTTCATACTTTTTAGATTCTCTTGAAACGTACGAAGAGATACATATGGTCCCTTTTACGAGCTACCGAGCCGAAAAATATGGCTCGTCAATCTAGAGAAGCTGAGATGGTTAGCTCACATCAGGAGGTCACAAATGTTCATGATCATTCTCTCAGTTCCCAACAGGTACCTTTAACTTTTGGATTTTGCGGGTACTAAAGTAACACCTTTAGTTTTTATTGGCACAGAATAAGGACCTCCTTCTGCTAATGTTCTAGTTGAGGGACCAACCTTTTGGAACCAATCTGAGGTGATTATTGTTCGAGTTCTTTTGGTTTTGGAGGATAATTTAATAAATTCTGAAGATTACTCAATAAAAGAAGGTTGAAGACTGATAACTTAGAGGCCGCAAAGATGGAGGTTGCCCATGATAAGAGTGTGAGGAGAAGCGGGGATTAAAGTGCTTTGACTGGGAGAAGCTAGGATTCTCTCAGTTGTCCGTGCATTTTGTCGAATCCGATAAACCAAATGTTGGAGACGAAGAGCAGTCTCCGAGAAGAAAGGAACTCGACTCAAGAATCAGAATGGTGATGTTTATTTGGTTGATAACAGGGGAATTTCTGGACCACATCAACTGCATGAAAAGTGTTAATTTTGTTACGCTCTTTTTTAAAACATTTATTTTCTTATTTCGTTAATTATTCCGAGACTATATATAATCAACCACTTGTATATATATACTTGTACTAAATAAAATCTTAGAAACGAAGTGGATGGGAACATCAAAATGTCATTCATTTATATGATTTGAACAAATCTCGATAAAAAAAATACATTGGCGATGTTCCTACAACAATGATTTCTGGTACTTGCAATTTTGTTCAACAATATCTTGAATCCGATATTGTATCATGTATACAAAATCAGCATCTGAAACGTGACAAACAAATCTAGTGCGACCGAACTAGATCTATAATTCTTAACTAAGGCTACCACCAGATTTTTTGGACTTCTTGCTAGCGTGAATCTTAGCGTAAATCTCCTTCGTCCTATAAGCCAACACAAGATCCAAACCGACTCCAATAACAGAAGCTAATGCCATGACTATGAAAATGAGACGGTAACAATGAGCTCCTACGCACGTGTTGCCCCCACCAGGAGTTGGTGTGGCCTCTGCATCGTAGAGGAAGCCAGCGAGGAGACCCGAGAAGAGGAACGAGCCAAGTGGCAAGTTAAGTACTAAAATGTTGTAGATGAGACCATAGTATTTGAGACCAAAGAGTTCGGACGCTGTTGGTACGGTTATGGCTAGACGAACACCGTAACAAACTCCAACCACCATTGAACCAATGTAGAGTGAATTGGGTACGGCTAAAGCCATTAGTATATATCCTACGGCCATAAGGATTTGAGAGGCTGCATTCCATAGTGGTCTTGGTGTTCCAGCTTTCCTATAAAATTAGAAGAAAATTATATATTCTTTGGTTAGTAAAGTATAAAATCAACATGGTCATTGAAATGATATATATGTTGCATAACCTTTAAATTTAAAATCTTATAAATCAGTAGAATGTAAAAGTTTCAAAAGAATCCAAAGGGGAAATTTAGGTGGAAAATTAAGTTAACACGTGAAGAGAAAATTAAATACCGTGGTCCAAAATAAGGAAAAGAGCAAGATATTTGATTTGGAATTGTCTATGTAGTACCAAAACTAGTTAAATGAATCAAACAGAAAATTCTAAAAGATCCCTTTTCTTTATATGAGAAAAATCATTTAAGGAAAAAACAATATACAAATTTAGAACGCATTGAATTTTGTATGTCCATATATGAGGATGAAAAATGATATACGTCACGTTACAGTTTTGTAATGAATGTTACTACTTAATGTTAGAACGATAATTGATACTTTCAATGATAGCATCGTAAAGAACGAGACAGAGTAAAATGGATTGAACAGTAAACTACGGTCAAAAATGTGCATAGCTTATGAAATTTTTACTGTTAGTCCGCTCCATTTTCTGAATGAACAGTGTAAAGCGGACAAATAATGTTTATTTATCCGTTATTCACTGTTCATCTTGGGAGCAGATCAAACGGTGAATGGTAAAAAAATGCATAGTGTTAAAAGGAGGAGCCGAGGAGGAGAACTTACTTGAGAAAGTATTCGGAGAGAGTACCGGAGAGAATGCGACCAAAGAATCCCCAAATACTGGTCATGGAGACAAAGATTGAAACATTTGTGTATCCAAGGGCAAGACCTATCTGACCCATATTGTTCATCACAGCTAAACCAGTTCCTACACCACACAAGAAGGACACAAAAAGCACCCAAAAGTCAACGGTCAATATTGCTTCCATTATAGTGTGGTCTTCTCCCAACACCGGTTTCTTCTTCTTCACTTCTTGTTCAGCTGCCACCGCAGCTACAACCACCACTTCTCTCTCCGCTGCCGCGATCTCGGATCTAAGCAACGGTTCTTGAATCCGTCCTTCTAAGTCATCTTGTTCACCGTGATTCAAGCTCTTGATGAAAGAGTGGAAAGGAATGGCTATTGGAGAAGCCAATAGGAAGAGAAGTATGGAGGCGAAAGCAACAGAGAACACTCCGGTTTTGATTCCGATGATGTCGTAAGACTGAAGGTACACGGCGACAACGACGGCCACAATGTTGAATATAGTAAAGTAGCGAGTCTCTTCATTCTCCTCGGCGGCAGAAGAAGCTGGTGAGATCTCACGGAGGAAGAAAACCGCCGTGAGACAGACCGCGAAAGGGATGACTGCGAGCAAAACCAAAAACGACGCCGGATCGTTTGAGAACAGAGCAGTGCATAGGTCGGTGAATATAGCAGTGCTTAGGCCGACATATCCTTTCAAGATCCCGGAGACAGGACCACGGTTTCGTCGGAAATTACGTATGCAAGTCACTAAAACCGCCGTGTTCATCCACGTTGTGCTGTTCCCTCCCATACAGAGGAATATACACATCTGAAAAATTCAAAAGAAGAAATATTCAATCAATCTGAAAATTAATTTTTTGACTAGTGGTTAGTACTAATAAGACCTTAATTCGTGAATATGCGTGTGTGAGTTATAGACGGTAATTCATCATTTACCATATTTTTTTACAATAAACCCTAAAAAATCTCTTATCTCACATGATTTTACCATTTACACAATATTATTCCCACGCATTTGCGCGGGCAGTCACCTAGTAAGACCTTAATTCGGGAATATGCGTATGTGAGTTATAGACGGTAAAAAAAAAAAAGAGAAAAAAATATTGTTAGTACCTGCCAATAAGGGATTGGTTGGATGGTGCGGCTAACAACAAGCCATTGTACACCATAACCGAGAAGACCTTCAAAACAACCAATAAGAAGGATGACAGGAGTAGGAAGACGGTCAGAGGCAAGGCCAGCGAGGATCCCAAAGGCTTTTCCAACGTCTTTAGCGACAGAGAGGTTGTTGAGCTCGAGCTGGTTGAGATTCATGAGAGACTTAAGAGCACCGGAGTAGTTTGAAAAAGTGTAGTTGTTGCCGGAGATGGCTTGAACCCAAACAGCCGTTACAAATCCAAGCCATTTCAATGCAGAAGAAGAAGAGATAGATCTTTGGAAACCCATTTGTAGAAAAAGAAGAGAAAGTGTGTGGGTCGTGGAAATTCTCCGTGTGGACGGTTTTATAGAAGAGAAAAGGTAAAGGGTTTTTTATGCTTTGCGTGTTTTGTTTTATTTTATTTAATTAATTAGGTTTTGACATTTTAAATTTTTAATTAACAATTAATAACAACATGTCGAATGGGTTTTATTTTAAGATGTGGAATGAGACCAGGGAAGGTACGTACGACACCGACGTGTACGGGTTAAAGTAGGTGTATAAACCGTGGATGTATTATAACATGGAATACTAAAATACGGCGTGCTCTTGTTGTGTTTTTTTTTTTTTGTTCCGGTCGTTTGAAATAATAATAATTGTATGTGGCCAACTTGGGAATTGATGTATCTTCTGGAATATACTGTTGGATCTATTACTTATTCCAATCAATTTTGCAATTCTGAGTATCCGGAGATCTAGATACCAAGATACGTGTAAATTACTACGTTTTTATGGATGCATGTTTGGGTACTAAATTTTGGGGTTTGAATACTCGTACCATAATTTAATAAATAGTTAAAGATAATTTGGCCAATGATATGCTTTCATGCAGAATCTAAATAGTCACAAAATTATACAAATTTAATTTTTAACATAGAAACTTGAACTGTTTTTCCAAAACATCTTATATAGTGAAACAAAATAAAATACCTAAAACATCCTATCATATGAAATAGAGGGAGAATACATTATTAGAATTTAAATCATATATAAATTACTTTTATACATGATTTAGATTTTTAATTTTTTCTAAATTAATTTTTTAAACTCATATATATATAAGTTTTACTCAAATTAATCTTGTTTTAATTTTTGAGTTTATTAACACTGAAAGAGCTCAAAGTATAAAATCCTTTTGTAACATCTAATCTCGACCGTCACATTTCTTGTCTACCATACTCATTACTCAGCATTTCTTAAAAGTATTGATACTAAAATCAAATATTTTATGGTTCGAGGACAATAAAATCATGAGATAATTAGGTGTAAAGTATAACTTTTTATCCAAATTAAATTTTTTACAAATCATTTTCAAACCTAAACAACATCAATATTTCTCCCATGATTTTTCCAAAAATAACCTCACTCTCTTATCTCTTCAATTTCGTATCTCTCTCTCTCTCAACTCCATAAATCTCATTTCTCTCTCTTTCTTCTTCCATTTTTTTAACGTTGATAGCTTTTTTATTGTTGATTCTTCTTCTTCATTTGTTTTTTTTTGTCAAAAACATATTTATATGAGATCCGGTGATAATCTACGATGGATCAACAATGGCAACGTGCTTGCGGTGGTATTGTTGCGAAACTTTGTTGACAATCGGCGGTGATTCAACGATAGATCTGGAGTGGTGGTTCAACGACGGATCTGAAGTGGTGATTCAACGGCGGTAACCCGCTTATTATGGTGGGCTTTATATATCGGTTTTTGGTTAAATTATTGTAACATAGATATGTATTATATATATTGGATGTTTATATCACTAATTTGGTTGTAATATATGTTTGTATCGTGTATACAATTGTGTTTGTATGTGTAAAAATGTTAATAACGCTCTATATATATTTACAGATATACATTTGTTAATAACTTTCTAAATGTAACGAATATGTTGGGTTAATAACTCTTATATATATATTTCACATGTATATATATATATATGGTAATAGAGTTCTATATATGTATTTACATCAATACAAATGTTAATAACACCCTATGTATCATGTAGTATATGTATGTAATGATATGTTTACATCTATAAAAATGTTAATAACGCTATATTTAAGTGTTTCAATTCACCTGCGGTGCATTTAATGTTGTGGCACCAGAAGTCAACATTCTCGCAAACGCGCACCTGCTGGTTTTTCCGTAAAGAGAGTGATATGGAGACCCTATTTTTGCTGTTTATTATCGCGCTTCCTAGGTAGACAAACTGATTGTCTCTTACCTCATTTATTTGTCCATTTTTCACTCTCAGCTAAACGTCTCTAAAATCATTGATACATTATCAACGTGCTCTCTTTTAGGAATGAACACATAACAAATATTTTGGAAAAACAATTATCCATGACCCACTCCATTTTTACTGGATATCTAGTTTTATCTGTTTTGCTCTAGAAAAAAAAAGAAATCCTAAATATTCATAAAGATTTTTGAATATCTGAAAATATTTAAATTGTTACTTATAAAAAATGAAGGAAAACCCACAAATTTGTAAGAAAAAAAATATTTATTCAATATGCCCTAACAAATGAAGAATATATGAAACCATCTAATTTCTTTCTAACAAAACTAGAGAAAATAGAAAAATAAAATATTAAGACGGTGGAAAGAGAAAATCCGACATTTTGTAGTGTTTGAAAAAAATAATAATTACGAGAAATATTTTTCCTTAAAATTATAGTATCAACTTTTTTTTTTTGAACTGAATATAAAATTTTATTCAACCAAAAAGCTTTTGTACAACGAATGCATCAATTTGTTGGAATCTACTAGAAAGAAAACACTGAGAACAGAGGAAAGAATTTAAAATGATAGCCGAGATCTTGTTTATGGAGTTGATCGAGTAGAGAACCATAGCCTTAGGCCGTTATCATAGCGATGATCACCCAAGTTTTTGATTGAGTTGATGCAGTTTCAAAAAAAAATCATCGATGAATTTAATGAGTCGAGTTTTTGGATATTGAATTTCTCCATGTCTTCTTGCATTTCTCTCACACCATATATGATTTAGAGTGGCTTGGAAAACATACTGAAACGAAAATAGATTGAACTGTGGGATGGTTACGTTGTTGAGCAATGCAACCAATCCAATCCGTCTAAGTAGTTGTTATTGAGAAGACGTTGAGCTAATTCCTTCCAAATTCCAGCGGCGTACGAACAAGAGAAGAACAAATGATCTCTTGTCTCTTTAGTATTTTCACATATAACGCATTCAACACGCTGTCCCGAGTGCTAAATTTTTGATTCAATCTCTCGTTGCTAAAATAAGAATGAGTGTTTTGGAGTTGAGTAAGAAAACCATATACCTTTTGTACCATTCTGCCCTCGGATGAGACATTTGAATATTGTTCCAAGTGTGCTTTGTCATAAAAGTTTTACTAAACTTATCCCTGAGAATCTCTATAGCGAGATTTTTTTTCTTTTGCTCTAGTTCGTTGATACATGACATGAATCTCTGCTTCTATTTTGATAAAGATAGCAACTCGATGCCTTTTATTTCGACAAGATTGTAGCATTGTTTCAACAATTGCTTCAAGAAGTATGTCCATACTCCACGAGATTCCGTCACATCAATTGGCCTATCGAATGGCGACCAATCATCATACCCAAATGATGAAGAGTAACCAACTTTAACTTCCACTTTGTGCATAGTTTTCGCAAAATTTTGATATTTTGAGCAATTTTTTCATATCCAAAATCCCGCATTTTAGTTTACTGATATATCATAGATTTTACCGTTTTTAGTCATGATATATGTGTTAGTTTTAGTGTCTTTTGTTATTTCTAGTCTTTTCTAGTCTTTTTCAGGTTTATACACGTTTGAGACTAATTTGGAGATTATGAATCATTCTGGAGCAAAACCGAAAAGTTATGCTACAAGAGCAGTCCGGAGACAAAAATTCGTGCAAGTGTCGATCGACACCACCCCTAGTATCGGTCGACACCAATATCTGACGGCAATTCAATTTCACATCCTTTTTGAAGTTATGAAGATTTGCAGAATCAGCCCAGAACTGTTCCCTATTTTCAAAGAAGTCCATGCACGTTTTAAGAACATATAAATAGATTTTTAGAGTTTTGTTTTAGACATCTATCAACCTCTTATTCTATTGTATTTTTGGAACTTGAACCCTTTCTTTATGCTTTCTATTAATTACATGCTTTCTGTTACCATGATCATGTCTGAGTAGTTTGTTTGTTAGGTTTAGGGATTCTCATTAGGGATTTAGATGAATTAGTAGATCGATAAACCTGTTAGGATAATATCTTTAGAGTTATTCATCTTTGATTGTTCTTAATGCTAATTCTAGAGTAATTAACTAGAATTTGATTATAGGATAATAGGTAGATTCGAGACGTCATCTATTACTAGAACTATCTTAGGTGGGCAGAAATTACTAGATTCATACGAGAGGTGGTTTAGGAATATCTGTGAACAAATCAAACCTGTTATTAATGCTAGTCTAATTCTAGGAGTTTTACATTCGAGAGGTGGAACTTCCTGATATTAGATTTAGTTAGTCAACTCATACGAGAGGTGGTTGGCTATAAATTAGTGATTTGAGTTCTAGAACTGTTCGTTAATAATTATAATTAATTTGCTAGATCTACTATTTATTTATTTCTTGAAAAATCCCTAAGCCTGAAGTTTTTCTCATCTGATTTTAAAACCCAATTTTAATTGCTCTCTTTTATTTTTTAATTTTCATATTTTCTATTTAGCTTAATTTAAAACTTGTTATCTATTGTGTGAACACGAGAGCTTTGTGAATTTCGACCCTAAAGTGATGCAATTGATCTCTTATTTGAGAGATTAGTCTTAGGTCTAATTTGACTCATATCATTTACTTTAACCGATCAGAATAAATTTTTTTTATGAGATACTTCCATATCTTAGCAACCCACAAAGATGATCGCATAGAAACTATTCTATGTATATATAGTCTGCCAATTATAGTATAAACCTTTAATCTATTTTTCATCAATATTTCTTAAATAATAAAAATATTGAAATCTATTTATTGTTCAAGAACACATTTTACTCAAATAAAGTCATTTATTGGTTGTTTAACCCTGAATTTTTTTAAAAATATTGGTTTACCATGCATTTTTATATAACCCTTTCCCTCTCTATTCTTTAAATAGATAAAGCAAATGTAAATAGACAATTTTTGTCGCCTATACAAACTATGACTCATCACATGACTGCTCATCTAAACTAAAATAATATACGTTTATTTAATACCAACACAAATTAACATGCACTGAAAAGTAAAAAATATTTTATAAATTATATAATCTTTATCACGGCTTATGTCTATTATATGATTAGATTCTATAAATTAATATTAGATAAATTAATAATTTTTATAAATTAATAACTTTTATAAATTAATAAATTTTTCTGATCTCGAGTTAGAACTAGTGTAAAAAATGATATAAATCGTAAATTAATAAGATAATAACTTTTTGAAAAATCCTTTGTATACATATGATTCACCTATAATATAGATTAATAAGTGTATAAACTTATCTATATATATATATATATATATATATATATATATATATATATATATATATTATGACAGTAATTTATATATATCATATATAAATATTCTATGTAAAAAAAATTAAATTTGTATTAATTCTTGATAGATTTTAATTCTAATATTTTTAGTACAT